ATTTGCTTGTCTCGAATAAAGGATTTTTACCCGGATTTATATCGTTTTCTTTGTATGGCAAACTGTTAAAGATATGCCCTAAAATGGCCGCTGAAAGCCCTCTGAGAGGGGCAACACCAAGATGGTGGCCCCAGCGCTAAAATACAAATGGAATTGAACTGAAAGTTATATTTTTGTGAATCACTTATCTAGACCATTCATCTGAGAAAGTTTGGGGAATTTGATTTTTTCTGGTCCAAATGGCCATAGTTGAAATTTACAGAGGGCACCTCTTAAGCAAGGTGTGGTGTCCAGAGATGGACAAAGATGTAGAGAATATGTGTAAGGCTTGTCATGGCTGCCAGGTTACTTCAAGTTGCGACCCACCTGATCCGATGTCTCGTGTCTTGCCTCTCAGTGCCCCTTGGCAAGATTGCAGTGCAGATTTGTTAAGACCCCTACCCACAGGAGAAACCATTATGGTGGTGGTCGATTATTACAGTAGGTTCCTGGAAGTTCCCACTTTGACATCTACTACAATCACCCCTATGTTTGCTAGATTTGGTGTACCGTTTATTCTGAGGACAGATAATGGTCCCTAGTTTGTGTCCGAGGAATTTGAGTCGTTTCTGTAAGCACATCACCCACATGGTGTTGAATATCATAGGAGGACGCGATTGTAGCCTAAAGCTTACGGCATGCAAGGTCGCACCCCAAAACTTTTCATTGCTCAAGTCTCTTCAGATTGCTGATTTATAAGGGAAGAATTGGCGAACCGAGTTGGTTACTTGGCTGGCGACGTACTGATCCACTCCACAAGCAACCACAGGTGGCATGCCCTTCTACCTGAAGTTTGGTCGGGAAATGAGGACGAGGTTTTCGGAACCGTAGAGGTGCCAAGAGAAGAATTTCGCGATCGAGATTGGTCGAATAGGTTGAAGGGCGAAGCCTATATGCTGATGCACGTAGAGGTGCAATGCCCAAGTCCATACGGATTGGTGACATTGTGTTATTGAAAGCGGAAAAGTCTAACAAGCTTTCCACCAACTTCCGTCCGAGTCCTTTCAAACTGGTTTAGAAGACTGGCGGTGAAGTAACGGTCAGAAACGACTTCAGAAGGAAAACTGCGTTCGTAAAAAAAGTACAACGAGCAACATGGTGTGTCCGGACCAGACGGAGAAGGAAACAATTCGTCAGATGAAGTTGGGCAGAGGCCGGAAATTGTCCCACCAACGATGACAAGAGTTTCCAGAAACAGCCCAGTACCTCTTCCGAGTTCACCGGAAAAAGGAGGTGAAACTGAAAGTCAAATGCCGACGGCAAGTCCTTTGTTAAGTCAGGAACTGTGCGAGGGTCATCGCGAATTTTTAGGAAGCCTGTGCGCATCGGAGACTAAGTTTTATTGCTAAGAAGTTAGGAGAGTCTTAAAAGATTCAGAGACTTTGTTTTGGACACTTGAGACATTAATCCTTCGAAGATTTTGTTTTGTCATGAGAAACATTTTAAATGTCACTTTCTTTGTGTGTCAAGCTTTGCGGAAACTTCGAGTTCTTTTTCCTTTACATTTCTCCGTGAGGAAAGGAGGGAGTGTATTGTCGTGACTAATTACACACGCGTGGAATATGTAAGGAGCTACTCATGTAATAAGAATTGTTTCAGCAGTTATAAGCAGGCAATATATGATCTGGGTGTCATCAGAAAGATCTTTTGCCGCGGCAGAACTTGATTCAATTGTGGTCAAAGGGGATGACGTCAGAAGTGGAAGAAAGGCCAACGCTCTTCACGGGCGGCTAAGGGCGGCACTTGAGTCAATGTGTTAACTGCAAGACTACTCCAACAAAGAGAATGGTTACAAGAGGCAAACTTGTTACAACCAAAAGTTAAAGTAACGATCTATGACGATGAAAAAAAAACACAGGTTTGGGAAGGAAGTGTAATGAAAATAAGCATGTCAATTAAGAAGGGAGTGTTTATGAAGTTGGCGCTGAAAGGAAAAGTCGTTACAGGAAGATGGAATGGATTAAATACCTCTCCAAGAACAAGAAAAGCTGCAATAAAATCGGCGAAACAATATAGTTTGGTAATAAACAAAGTTTAGTGGACTCAGAATCAAGGACTTTGTCACCGAGGACAATAAGGACTTTTCCAGAACAGTCACGAATTTTCTAACATAATCAGGACCACCAGGAATATCTTAAAAATTTGATCGGCGTTAAGCAATAATGAACACGCGCGTGGAACACTCGAAGTTTGCGCGCAAGTTGGTTCGACTGAGGGCCGAGTATAACTATGGTCTCTGGTATTCGAGATAACCCCCTCACAGAGGTAACTTTGTTGAGTGTTGGTATGTTGTCCCTGTTGACCAAGTCGAAGCTGACTCTTCGTGAATGTCCATATCACTTATTACATATTCAATTGCGCACTCATCCATCTTTCTTTGAGTGGCTGGCAAGTGGTATCCATTATGCTGCGAGCTAACATTTCATCTTCTGTTGCAGTAGGAAACCAATAATAATTTTGCGTATGACTCTTGCGAGCTGAGAGGTGGATATCAAACATTATATGAGTTTGAGTAAGCAAACATAATGCGTGAAAAGTTCAATCCATTGGTTTGGCATATTCTAAATTCATACAAAACGACGGGTGTTTGAAAATTATCTTCCCTGTGTCTATAGATCGTTTTCACGTAAACTAAAGAGCCACCAAAGTTTTATCCTCATCAGGCATAAAGGGTGCAAATTTATATCTCTTTACAACTTTTAAGCTCAATAGCGTGCTCCGTCTGGAAACCAGCGCATTTTGAATTTTGTGAAGACTGAACTGAAGCGGAAATTGTGCCATGACACGCCGTCGTGTCTTGTAAAATGTGACATTTCACATTGGTTTACATGAGGTGGGTACGTAGGATGACTGAACGGACAGTCATGTAGTAACCAAAATACTTCATTTCGATAAGTTACCAAATTTTTCTTTCATAACGCTTCTATTAAACGACGTTTACTTTTCATTGATATAAATACGGCCCTGGTTGGATTCAACGGTTGTCGAGAAGGAAAGGAAAGTCTCGGATAGTTCAACATGTCGAAGCTTGGTAAGCTCCTTGTATAGTTCCGCTTTCGACCTGTGACTGCAAAACTTGTCAGTATGTTTACTTTGAGCGCACTCGTGATTTTCAGCAACATCGCTTTTTGTGTCAGAGTTGGTGTGAGCCCAAATTCCGTGGATTTCGAAATAATAATCGGAAGTATATCGTTCGAGGTCGTCGAACGTGCCCCAAACTCGTAATGTCTCGTTTTTCTCTTCTCTAGTCTCAGTAGCGTTTCGTAATTCTATTTCTTCATTTTGTCTTTCTTAGCTCTCTTTGTTGCGAGGGAATCTTTCATTGCAGCTCGGATACTAATCAAGAGCTCTTTTAATCTCATGCAAGCAGGGTGGGCTCTTTCTCGGAAAAAAAAAAACTGTTCCCACCCTCTGATTTTCCCGTGTGTGACTTTTGGCCTAGTTTACTGATTCCCGCCTGAGCGGAGGCACGGTCGCCTCTTCTGTGCTTTTTTGAGATCCCATTCGAGTGAGGGAAAGGTTAGTACATTTTTTTTCGAGCAAAACCCCTTTTATCAGCTATTTTGAAAGAGAGGAAGGCCACCGTTTGCTCAGGGGAAAAAAAAACCTGTGGCTGTTTCAGGGCAGGCCGCACATGCTCTCCACAGGGTTATTAGAACTTGGTCGTGCATTCAAATCCTAACCTTGCCTGACAGGGCTTAGCATTGGTGATCAGACAGGAAGCTGTGCTCTTCTTGTGTTGACATCTCAGACAAGGATGACTTCATCGATGTTTCCTTAATGTGTACCAATTCTCTAAACAAATTAAGTTATATCTCTTCTCTGAACAACTCGAAAATAGCATGAAGTAACCAACATTTTGAACATTCAATTCCTTCGAATATACACCGCTCATATAGCTCGGTCTGCCTCCCTGTGTTTGCACTTTATTTACTTGTCTCTTTCATTCCGTTGGTTTTATTTTGCTTTGCACATAAAAAGGAGGAGGATAACTCAGAAACCGCAAGGTTCATTTATCCCCTTGGCTCGACTTTTAGCGCATATCATTTCCCTAAGTTATTGTAAGTTATTGTAATTTTCTTTACAGATGTGTAATAAATACACATTTACAAAGAAAATTACAGCAACTTACAAAAACTTAGGGAAAAGATATGTGCTAAAAGTCGAGCCAGGGGATCCAGGATAAATAAAGCAATTTTGTTGTTGTTGTTGTCCACGATGTCACATCTCCTTATGTATTCTGTTACCGTTGTGTTTTGCGCTATTTATTAACAACGCCAGTGAGTTTTAATTACATCTTTTCCCTCTCTATTTAAAATAAATGATCTATGGATTGCAAATTTGGCGCAGTGGCTTCAAAATTGCCACTGTTTAAAAGTGGTTCATTTCCCAAATTTATTGGCTGATGCAACTGTATTCAAAATCTTTTAAATTATTTTTGCAGATGCACCACAGATTATCATATCCCAAGTACAATCAAGTTACAATGAGGGATCAGTGGTTAATATCATCTGTACAGCATTAGGGACACCAGACCCAGATGTGCAATGGCTCAGAAATGGAAAAGGGATAACTTCAGGGAAGAAAACAGCGTCTTTGACGTTCAGTAGTATAAACAGAACAGACGATGGACAGTATACTTGTAAAGCCACCAACTCAGCAGGAAATGATGAAAAACGAGCAACGCTGGTGGTTTACTGTAAGTAATGATACCTTTTTAGCGTAGAGGACACTACTGGGATAGTTTAGAGGGCTCTTATCCATGATAAGAGTTAAGACACTATGGCATTAACTTGAATAGGTGTTAATTTTCGACCAGTGGTCTGGCAAGATATACGCGAAAGTAGTATGTACTTATTAACTCGTATTTACGAGTAACGGAATGGTAATTTCTGCACTAACACATATACAATACCATATATTTCCCATCGCTAGAGTTTTGTTTAGTTTGCGTAACTAGTGAGAGTCACTATGACCGGGTTTGTTAGTGTCTGTACATTTACTGAAACTTAGAAAGTCTGTAGTTACCAGAAAGGTGTCTCGAAGCTTAGATGGTATCTGTATCGCGGGGCAATATTTAAGATTACACCAGAAGAGTAGTTATTTGACGATGTGTTGCAGTTATTCATGTTTCTTAGTAAATGTTATAATTAAGTTTCCATATAAAGCGCGCTCTGACTGGCTGAAACAGCGTGCTTTATCAGAGGACGGATGCACGGATGACGGTAAGCTGGCGTCCAAATTTTTGCTTCGGAATTTTGACAAATTTGACCCAAATTAAACATCCACGGTGACTCAGACAAACGCAATGGAAACGAGCTATTTGTGTGCAGTACATATGACTGCATGGAGACCATTATTTGAACAATTCTAACAAGGATTGTGATTGGCCTATTTTAGCGTGCTTTATCAGTGAACAGATGCGCGCTTACGTCACTTTCACTCGTTTGGAAAATGAAGTTTGGTTTTAAAATTCAGCCGAATGCGTGGGGATATAAATGGATTCTTTATCATGAAACAAATAAAGAAGCCGCGACTGCTCTCTGTTCTGTTGTAATGCACTTAGGAAGTGGTAGAGCACTCAATAGAAACACTCGAGTACGTCTCGTGTTTTCCCTACACTTTTTTCGTGCTCTACCACTTCCTGGGTACTTTACAACAGCAACAGAGTACAGTCGAGGTTTCTTTATTTATTAATTGAGATTCACGATTGGTTGATGTTACTAGACACGCCGGAAGGTACAACACTAAGCACTAATGCTGCTGGTAATACCGTCACACAAGGAGGCTCCGTAACATTCACATGTGACGTCACGGCCGCTAAACCACAAGTGTCACGGTACAAGTTCTATTTGAATGATACAACTCTCGTCAAAGACAGCAATGACAGACAATACACCATCAACTATGTGCGGCGGTCTCAACACTATGGCAAGTACAAATGTGTACCACGTAATGATGCTGGAGATGGACCAGAGACCAGTGTGACACTTGACGTAAACGGTGAGTTACATCATTTTTTTTTTTTTTTTTTGGTATATATGTACTGTGGAATTAACTTCATTCAGTAATAAACCAAATGTATGAACCTTTCTTCATTATACATGTGTGCTCCTTTGTAATCCAAGTTGTGAACGTTGATGAGTCAACGTGAGGGTCATTAAGACCTCGTGTGTATTGTACAGATCTATGTGCAGTGTACTGTATATAGAAAATGTACCTACTGATATTCGTTTCTGAGACTTATGTGGCAAATTCTCAAAAATATCTCAGTTTGGCTTTTAACGCCTAAACTTGTGTGAGACGAAGAAACTTGCAGAGAAAACTAATTTAGTTTCATTTTGTTGTTCTGTTTAGTTCCTGTCCAGTTTACCGTCTTGCCGCAAAACCTAACAGTAAATGAAACAAACTCTATTATTTTGAGCTGTGATGCCTTAGGTTTTCCTGAACCTTCTTTCACATGGACAAAAGATGGACAAGTTTTGTCTCAGGCAAAGCAACTGGGAATTCAAAGAAGTCACAGAAATGACGCTGGAATGTATGTGTGTACCTCAAGTAATGGAGTGGGACTAGACAAAAGAGCAAAAGCCTATGTTACAGTACAATGTAAGTTTGTATCCCGTCCTATCATAAAGTTACATTAGTTGCTGCAACACCTTAGCCATCAATATAGGTCATATAGCAGCCCGAGAAATTACTTCTTTATGTAACAGTTAAATTCCATTCAGTAATTGTATGTCAAGTCCTTTTTGCCATCCTCCGAAATGATCGCTCATCAAGTTTGGTTTACTGAATAAGATAGTTTCGTGTCGGGTTAGTATGCAGATTTTTGCAAGACTGAGCATACACTGACTGTAGTTGTAATAATGTACTGAGTAAAGAGATCATGCAATAAATACAATCATATCTTTAAATGGGTTTAATCCATTAATATGTCAATGTGGGTGAATAAATACTAATAAATCTTTCTAAGTGAGAGTTTCACCCAGTAACGTTTGTAAACATGACCTTGCGTGTTGGGGTAATATGATCAATAGTTTGTGGGATTGCTTCAGACACCAATGCTTTTTAAGCACCGTCCACACGTATCCGGATATTTTTTAATCCGCAACTTTTTCTTTCCGAATTCAAAAAGCCTTATCTGGGAAGAAAAAGTTGCAAATTCAATAATATACGGATACGTGTGGACGGGGCCTCAATTTGTGTTACAATAGTAACACAATGTAGTAGCCAACGTGAGAGGCTTGAGGTGCTTTTAATGAATGACAATACTAACCCTCTTTTCACGAGCAGCCTTTTAACTTCCTTTTGAAAATGGCTTGACTAAGTTAAATATGGACGTTTGAAATGCGGTATATTTATTAACCAAAATAGTAAGCAGTGTAATCCTCATGTAATTAGTTCCGCTGAAACAATTCGTTGATGCCCTTGGATTCGCATGAGTTTACTTTAGTGAAAGAGAAGAGAGGGGCGAAGGAGAGTCACTCTACAAGATTTATTACCCTTGACAACCCTACCTGCTCTAATTTGCTCTCTGACATTTTATTTTCCCATTATGCGAACTTCATGTGTCACACTGTGAATCACTCTTTTTCTCTGTGGTCGCTTAGCATGCGTATTTTCTCAGGTTCGGTAAACATGTGTCTTGTCAGGCTGTAAGGACTTGGGCAAACATCTCCGTTTATTCCCTTTATCGAAGTCGCCATTCCACGTTACAGTTTATTTACCGTCTTCGCTTGTATATTATTGAACCTAGCACAGCATTATCACGTGTGAAGCAAATTTTGTGACCTTGCTCACAGCTAGTTACCATGATGGCTTGCCTGAAGAACAAGACTTCTTTTCAGTCTGCGAAATACATTCTGCGATGGATACTATGAATCATGTTTCCTGCTGCCCAACTAACACCATCCGTTTGTGCTGATATATAATTATGGGTTATCGACCAAGCTGAGGTCAAGATTGCTGGACATTGCCTTATTGGTCAAGTTCTTTTTTGTGTGCTTATTGACCAGGATGATAAACACGCAGACAAAAAGAAAGAGTCCAATATCCAGCCATCTTGACCGAACAAGCTTGGTAATAAAGGGTTTATTATATGGGATAAAGAACACCAAAGCATGATGCGGGACACAGCGCGGAATCCCTAGCGCGGAAGATAACACCATCTTGCCCGTTCGCGTAGCCAATCACAGCGCAGGATTTGTTGATCTTGCCTGCTCACGGAACTAACCTTATAATAATGGATCTTATTCAATTTTTTTAGTCCCGCCGACGATAAAAGAAGCCACTACATCCGCTTCTAAGTCTTGGATTGGTCAGACAGTGACGTTGAAGTGTGTATCAGATGGTGTTCCTACACCAGCACTCACCTGGTACAAACCTGATGGAAGTAAAATAGACAGAACCACAGATACACAGAGCATAGTGAAAGTGAAGATGAACGTGGATCAAGATTTTGGTGGTTTCAAGTGCGATGGTGACAATGGACTCAATTCTACTGATTTCAAGATGGTGAAAATAGAGCAAATAAGTAAGCACTTTTTTAAAAAAATGATGCGTTTGTGCTGCCTTTGTAGGTTTTTTTTTCAAAGGTTTGTTAGCCTTGCTGTAGCAAGGCTAGCTCTAAATGATTCAGTTAAAGGTTCATCATTAAATCAACAGAAAGGTTTTAAAATCAGCTAACGATTCACTCTTAATTTAACAATTAACATCAGCTTTACCTTGAACTGACAATAGAGCAGTAGTGATTTTTCGTGACATTAATAAAATGTATTTGGTATATTAACATTCAGTGGAAATGTTACAAGCTCGTTGTCAAGCATGCAGGCTATCGAAGTGACCAGATTTTGCTTTAGAAAGAAATTCGGGCACAGCATAATCTTGAGAAATGAAACACTTTATTATAAAATATTAAACTGTGTATTTAAATAACTATTGAATTAGTTTATGTTTAAATTTTAAACTGTCACTCATATTTTTACGTTCTTCTAGAGATGCCGGGGTCCCCAGCCATCACACAGTTAGACATTCAAGCCACTTCATTAACAGCAACATGGACTGCACCAGTTGATGATGGAGGGAGTCCTATCACAGCATACCGAGTGGTCATACTAAAGGGTAGCACGGAGATAAAGAACAAGAATATAACTGACCCTGGTACAACGAGCTGGAATTCGGGAGGTCTCGAGAAAAATACCGAGTACACGGTGAAGGTGTTTGCGAGAAATGCTGTGTTTGAGGGACCTGCTTCAGAAAGGGCAGTGAAGACTAATTATGAAGGTAACAAAGAGTGGCATCTTGTTCCCCCTATTTTCTTATTTATGGATTATCAATTGTTGTTGAATCATCTTCACATGATGTAAATCATTTCAAACACGAAATGTTAGACATTTCTCAGCAACCACCTGAAACAAACAATGAAGAATATATATAGTTTTCTCGAAGGCGAAAGTTCTATAATGTGCTTTATTTGGGTGCCACTCAACAAATACGGTAACACATAATAGAAATTTTGTCAATAATGATAACTGATCGAGATATTTTGGTTATCTAAGGAGTCCCTTCAGCAGCGACAATTGATGATCTGCCAAATAACGTAACAGATGATGCAATTACTCTGAAGTGGAGTGAACCCGAAAATAATGGAAAAATAATCACACAGTACACTGTGTATCAACGAATAGTGATTGATGATAAACCAGGAGAGTGGATCAGATTAAAGACAATTACAGATGTCTCAGTTAGAGAATTGACAGTTGAGTTGGAAAGAGGCAAGGTGTATGAATTTGTGGTTACTGCAACAAACGAATTTGGTGAAAGTTTGAAAGAAGATGGAAAGATCACGAGAGTCAAAGCATCAGGAGGCATGTGTTATATTTACATTTAATTGAAATTTAGCTTAGTCCACTGTTTTGCCTATTTGACACCAAACTACCTCAACCCTATCACAGGATTTCACACGAATCGCTACCCAACTGAAAAAAAACTTACTGTGGACTCGATTTTTAATTTGTAAATAGACTTAATTACAGTTTCGCTAGAACTAAATTGCGGAAAAATTGCGCAGACTGCTTGTACTGATATAAAAGAATACCTTGGTGACGGGCTTTAGACTAAAAAAAATGAAATGAAGCCATCTGATAATAAATTGTAGATTTTAAGTTTTTTCTTTCAGAACAGAATCTTTGATAATGTTGCCTTTAAATTTTAAATGGCCGAAAAATAATGTAGTCTTCATATTTCTCTATTTCTTCGCTATAGTACCACCCACAATTACCTTTAAAAGCAAAGGTAAAGTTGCTATTGTTGAGGGAAACGTACTTTACTTGTTCTGCGAAGCCGAGGGCAATCCTACACCACTTGTTACCTGGAGAAAAAGTGGTAGGGTGCTCCAAAGTAGCATCAGCAAAACAGAATTAATCATCCAGGATGCAAATGAAAATGACGCTGGGATTTATGAATGTGAAGTCTCAAACTCAGTAGGAACCATGACCTACACAGTGGAGGTTGCAATCAAAGGTAAAGTAACTTAATACCGAACATCACTGTTTACAAGCAACGTACATAACAAATATCATTTTTCAACTTTGTCCAAATACCCTACCTCCCTCATTTTTTCTGTAAGTAAGGAGTAGTGCGCCCAACCGTTGTGCGGTAACATTTTCTAGCATCAATTACTGATGCGTGCACGTTACATTTTAACGAAAAGAGAACTTGGTAACGACATTTATTGAGTCATATAACAGTACAAAAAAGGTAACAAGTATTTGTTTGTTTGTTTGCTTTATTTTTCCACTTACAAATATATTTGCAAAATATCAATTTATAAGGGAAGTAAGCCCTGGGAAACCAATAAGGCTTATGTAAAGGACTACCTTAAAGATACCTAATTTGACACAGTGCAGTCAAATAACTAACCATCTAAATGATTTTCTTTTGTATATTTTAGGTTCGTCG